AAGGCCCCCTAGAGGGTCCAAAGAGGGCCCCTGAGGTCCCCTGAAGAGACCCTCTGGGGGCCCCAAAAGGGGCCCCCTGGGGCCCCCGGAGGGGCCCCTTGCAAGCTTAAAGAGATGTGCCCTAGGGGCCCCCAGAAGGCCCTGAAAAGACCCTTAGAGGGGCCTCTACGCGGCGCCTTGGGGCCTCAGAAGGGGTCCCGGGGGGGAGGGGCCCCTGAGGGGCCCCCAGGGGGCCCCTCAGGGTGCGGGGGCCCTAGGGGCCCCTTCCGGGGCCCCTGAGGGGCCCCCTAGGGCCCCGGAAGAGGCCCCTAGGGCCTCCGTGAGGGGCCCCTGGGGCCTCGGTAGACCCATGCAGTCAGCCAGAAAGCCCCAAGGGGGGCCCCCAAGGGCCTCCGAAGGGCCCCACTGCTTGCAGGGGGCCCCCGGGGCCCCCGCAGTCCGAGCAGCAGCAGCTAAGGACCAAAGAAGCTGCTGAGACCCTTGGAGGCCCCCTTACTGGGGGCCTTTTGATTCCAAGGCTCTCTGCTGCGGGCGCAGCGTCTACGTGGCTGCTGCTGCCGCTGCTGCTGCTGCTGCTGGTTTGCTGTTGAACTTGCAGTTGTTTGGGTGGTCACGGCAAGGGCCTCTGCGGGGCCGTTGTGCTCCTGCTGGTTTTTGCTGCTGCTGCGGGTTGAGAGGTCGGCTGTGCTGCTGCTGCTGCTGCTGCTGTTGCTGCTGCTACTTTGAACATGCCCCTCGGAGCCTTGCTGTTCAGCTGGGCCCGCAGACGCTGCAGTAGCAGCAGCGGCTGCCACTGTTGGCACAGTGCTGTGAGGCGCTTGCTGCTGCTGCTCCTGCTGCTGCTGCTGCTGCTGGCCTGCTGCAACGGCGGAGAGCCGTAGCAGCCGCCGCTGCTGCTGCAGCAGCTTAGCCCCGGCTGCCTCTGAGCTCACCTTGTGAAGACTTTGCTGCCGCTGCTGCTGCTGCTGCTGCTGCTCCGGCACCGAGCCGTCCTTTGTAGATGCGGTGGTGGGAGCATACCGAGGGCCCTCAAAAGCTCTCATTTCCTTTGCTGCAAACCCAAAAGGCCGCCCATTTGCTGCCGCTGCTGCTGCTGCTGCTGCTGCTGCTAAAGTCTTCTTCGATAGAGAGCGGCACCGAGCATTTGCAGCGCGAGCGTCCTTCGACTTGGGGGCGATTTCGGACAACAGCTGCAGCCGCTGCTGCTGCGTTTGCTGCTGCTGCTGCTGCTGCTGCTGCTGCTGCTTTAGTGGCTGCTGCA